CCTCCCTCTCCCCCTCCCACCCTCTCCATCACCCAGCCTGGTGTCCAGGCCCCAGGGCCCTCCTGAGAAGGGAATGAGCAGGGATGTGAATACACAGGAGGGCTAAGGGAGGGAGCTGGGGCGCCCCATCAGCTCTGAGCTCTGTGAGGAGAGTGGGACAATGGTGGGGTAGCTGACCTCTGACTCTGGAATTGGCCTGCCCAGGTGCTCACCAGATGCTTATCCTGGGCAAGTGTCTTCCCAGCACAGCTTGTGTTAGCTAAGTGGTTTTGAGAGGTGTAGAGGAGGTGATGTCAGTTTCTGCTCAGCGCATAGGTGTTCAACAAGCGGTGCCTTAAGCCAGATGGGAGCCAATTTCCTGCTACCATTCCACCCATCAGGCACCCAACAGCCACCACCACAGACTTTTATCGCATGGATTGAGGTCTCTGGTTCCAGGCAAATGAAAGAGTGAATGGGCCATTCTTTCCTTCACTGGGGGTTATGGGGCTATTGCAGGGGGGCCCTGGGGAAACAGAGACATCAGGCCTCTTCCTAGCCTCCTTCTCCCTCCAGCTCCTCCTCTGCCCTGAGTGCCTGGCAGAGTCACAGAGCTAGAAGGGCTTTAGAGGTCACCGAGTCTAACCCTGGCCTGGGTTAGGGTCATCAAGCCTAACCCGAACCTGAACCCTAACCCTAATCCTAATGCCCAGCAGTGGGTACTCCTGCCCTCAAACACTCTCTCTTTCGCCAGGACAGCCCTTCAGAGAGCCGGAGGGAGGGTGCCCTCTCAAACCTGCCCTTCTGAAGGTCAGACGCTGAGTTTCTTTGGGCTTTTTTCTTCTTGTGACTCACCTCCATTTCATCTGTAAAACGGGGACAACAATAGTGCCTGTCTCCCAGAACTGTTTGTGAAGATTGAAGAGTTACCCTATGTCCAGCACTTGGAATAGTGTCTGGCACATAGTAAATGCTCATAAAGGTTAGTTACTCATATTGTTACTGTATTGAGTTCACCTTCTTGTGGAAGTGCTCACGGTTCTTGTAAAGTCCTTCTGACAGTCAGGACCTAGAATGGTGACCGGTCATGGCAAACCCCTGGACCACTGCAGAGTTCAGGGCACTCTGTAAAGCCCAGCACTGCCATTTACTGCGTGTGTGACGATGGGCAAGTTATATAAGCAACCTCTTTGTGCCACAGTTTCCTCTGTTCTACAACATAGGGATAATAACAGCACCTACCACGTACTAACACACTTATAAAAGTACCTGGCACATAGTAGGCACACAACAAATATGAGCTATATTTATTTGGATACTAGGCTTTGAATAAGGTAGTCTCACTTTCTCTTTCCTTTCCCCTCTCTTTTTTTTTCTAGCAGCCACATTATTCTAGGGCACATGTGTCAAACACAAGGCCCGCGGGCCAAATCCGTCCCGCCAGGCCTTGCAATGTGGCCCGCACCTCGCTGTCATCACTGCACTCCGCTGCGTTTCCATCACAATGACAGTTTATGACTGTTCAGTAAACCATTCAGCCCGCAATTTAGGCTGGATTTTAGATTTTGGCCCCTTCTCTGATTGAGTTCGACACCCCTATTCTAGGGCATTAACTTAAGCTTGTGGCCAATCCCCCCACTTCCCATCTTTTTTATTTGAAGAGTTGTGGATCCCAGAGCCACTCTTTCTTTCTTCTGCCTCCTCTGCTACAGACAAATTTCTTCTACCATCGGAACCAGCTACATGGGGCGCCGCACAAAACAAACTCAGTGGGTCTGAAATATAGTGGCAACCATACTTTGGTAAAACTGCTGTTTGAATTTTAACCCTGCTAAGTCTGGCTCCTGCCTGATTAAACGTGAAATACTTACCTCAGCTTCCAGGTGGAGACCTGGAGGCTAAGGCAATTTTCCCTTGCCAGGGATCAGGACCACAGGAGAATGGTTCCCACTGGCTCAGTAGCTTCAGGGATAGAAACTGTAGATAACCTTTAGAGTCTAACCGCTGAGCTATCACTTCTGTGTTATCACTATGGCAAGATAGGGCCACATTCCAATGTCCAGCAGGCTGTGACTGGGAACCAACCCTGCGGGCTGTCCCCAGTCTTTAGAATTTAGTCTTTAGGATTTAGGAACAACAGAAAAATTCTTGCGGTTAAAACCTTTAAAAGGAATTGCCTGCCCCTGAAACAGGGCAGTCATTTGGAGTCCACCTGCGTGTTTTGCTCTTGCGGCTGTGCTGGCCAGTTCAATAAATCCTTGCCTGCTTTTTTTAAAATTAATCATCTGCCTCCAGTGGTCTTATTTTGAACCCAGGATTCGACCCCACAACAGGGTCCAAGCTCTGAGGGGCAGGCCGGGCAGTGCCATGGAGGGAGAGACCTGGTATGAATCCTTCCTCCACCACTTATTATCTGTGTGATGCAGGGTGAGTCACTTAAGCCTTCTGTACAGTGGGATTTACAATCACCCCCTCCAGGCTGCCGTGAGGATTAAAAGTTAAGTCCCAATAATACAATGCCTTTTCTTACCCCAAAGTTGTGGGTAAAGGCCAAACATATAAATTGGGTAAAGATCTGCCCAGGCAGGTTTTTTAAAGTGCCTCCTCTCACTCCCTCCTTCCCCCAACAGAGTTCCCAGGAGACCTGAGGCTCTGTTAATGCTGTTTCAGGTCATACCTTCTTCCAAGCTCACCTGAACTGGAGGAACTGGAGGCTGGGCCCTTCCCAGTCCTGAACCTCAGATCCAGCGCCTTTCAGACAAATAGGAAACCACTGCTCCTGTTCGGTAGTGAGGCCACTGAGGCTAATGCCTCACCCAACACTGCTCAGCTGGACGGTGGGAGAGAGGGGACACTCCTCTGGACTCCTGGTGGAGAGGCCCTGCTCGCCTCCACCTGACTCTGTCCTTGTGGTCCCTGGCCTTCTGAGAGCATCTGAGAAACAGTGGGTGCTGTCACCCAGGGCACAGAGCAACCCCTGACCTTGCCGAGGAGCCTCACCCTTTCCGTGACCTCCAGGGCTTCCTGCTCTGCCCATTCCGGCAAGCCCTTGGCCTGGCCCCTTACCTTTAGGGGAACTGCTCTCCACCCCTCTCACCCCCGTTTCCATAGCTGCGGCCTAGGGATGCACGGCGCCTTTCACGTGAATGCCTCCTCCAAGCAGAGTTGGAGCTGTTCTGAGATGTCCGGGAGAGTGGCAGGTGCCTGAGAGGGACTGGCATGAGACTGGTGGTGGGAAAGCCAAGCATCTTAGAAGGGAGACCAGCCTCTCTCTCCCTGGCTGGAAGCGCATGCAGGGCGAGGAAGGCATAGCCACCATTTAGAAAAGGCCCAGAAGCCACAGGGAAATGTAAGGGGCCCTCAGCCTGGTGGCAATAAGGTCTCTGGGAAGCAGATGGCCAGCAGAGTTCTCAGCATTTCTTCGGTGATGGCGGGGTAGGAGAGGAGGGCTGTCCCCTTGAAGAGCGAGGCCAGGAGGCTGCAGAGGCTGAGGTCTAGACTAGGGTAGGTCCCTGCCTGGGAGCGAGGCGGTACCCCTCCCTTCCTCAGCCAGCCTCTGCAGAACACTGCCTGCAAAGTGCTTTGAAATGGTCATTAGAGCTCTCCCCAAGGAAGGCCATCAGTGCTGTCATCTGTGCTGCTAAACGGCAGGGGGGATCTAATGGCTGACACACCCAGGGAACAAGTAGGGCAGCAGGTCAAGGGGAGGCCAGGAGCGCTAAGCAGATAAGCTCCGATCACCGATCACCGATCACCGAGACTCGCAGAGGGCCCTGCAGCGGGAGCCAGGAAGCCTGGGCATTTGTGTGGGCTCTGCCAGGAGCTCCCTGCATGCCTTCAGGTCACTCCAACCATCTGTAAAACAGGAGAGGTTCGGCCAGAACGTTCTCACTGACAGTTTACCTTTCCCTCTAGAGCAGGGGTGGGGAAAGTCTGGCCCTCCAGATCATTTGGTCGGGCCCTGCCAAGGCATTAGGGGCGAGTTAATTAAATGTTTGACCAATTATAGCAGGCTAAGTTTTAAGTTGATCACGTTGTATGGCCCAAGAGCGATGTAAATATCCAATGGCCTTGGCAGGAAGGAGGTCCTCCATCTCTGCTTTAGAGAGCCAGAGGGGTTTTTTCCTCGGGGGCGGGGGGGGCACGCTGAGGAGCTGCAGTTCTGGCCAGGGGTGGGGTGGGGCATGCGATGGCGAGGGCTTCTGGCTCAGGGTGGAGTTCGGGTCGCCTCCACAGTATTAGGAAGAACGTGTCTTTGGGAAGGTGGTGAAGCCTCTTGGGAAGGTGGGCAGCTCTTGGGGGGCAGCCGGCTAATGGCCGACCTTGGCCAGGCTGTCCCGTGCATCCCCTTCACCCCTCAGGCAGAAAAGGGGGGGGGGCGTGTGTCCACTCACAGAGCTGGCAGGGTTGTTATAAGGATTAAATGAATGATTCCAACACACTCAGACACTCCGGGTACCCCAGCACTATGTGTCCATTAAGTGAAAATAATGGAGTGTCTGGCCTAAAACTCCGGCAAACGCTGAAGGGCTGGCCTTTCAGATTTAGAAAAAACCTGATTGAACCTTGAACCCAGGAGCGCTTTCTAACTTACACCAGGACACCTGGAGCGCTGGGCCCGCCTGTCTGCTCTGGGGATCTGGGCTGGGACTTCGCCTGTCTTACCAGCTCGCTGGTGTCAGTGCTGCTGGTTCAGACCTTTCTTTGAGAACATGGACCCTGAATGAATTGCCAAGGGTGTAATTTCTGGCAGCGGTTAGGGAAAAATTGGGGGACAACGGGTTCCTTTATCCGTCCCCAGGGATATGGGTCTCCCCAGGGCTGACAATTAGCTGCTCTGCAGCAGCACAGCTCTGGGGCATGCGTCAATTCCTGCTGGCTGCACCCGGGCCCCTCTGCTAGGTGTCACCTCGGTCTAGCTTTCGGCCAGAAGGGCAGCCCCGCCTCTTCTCCGGTGGGCAGGTTTGGCACCCAGGCTGTGGGGCCTGAGGTGAGAATGAATCAAACGCCAACCAGGCAGGTGAATCCAATGCATTCTTTATTGCAGACTGAAGCTAAGGGCTCACACTGTGCTCTGATCCGGGGCTTCTCTGCTGCCCCGCTTTCCCAGAGAGGCCAGGGCATGCTCTCCAAGCAGAGTAGGACGCAGCTTCCAGAAGCAGCCCCTCTGAAAGGCCTGAGATGAGGACCTGGGGAAGGAGCAGCTTGGCATTCGGGGAAACCAGAAAGGAAAGCCAGGGGGCTGGGTAAATCCAACCCTCATCACCTGGGGACCCCAGGTCACTCCTTTCATGGGAGTGGCCTGGTGGGAGTGAAGGGCTGCCTTGGGAGGGGGATGGGCAGAGACTTGGTGTTGGGGGAAAGCTGAGCAATTCCACCACCGTTCACTCCCAGGCCCTCCCCAGGCCAGGCTTCTTAAACAGTAAAGTGCTTGTGGGGATCCCTGGGGAGCTGGAGTGTGGGCCCTGATCCCAGAGGTCCGGGATTGGGCCTCGGGTCCGTGTCTCTAACAAGCTCCCAGAGGTGCTGATGCGGACCACACTGAGGTGCAGGTTCTGGCCATACACTGCCTTTTTGTGTATCAGGCAAATACACCCCTTCTTCAACAAAGACACGGTGAGTGGGGCCCGGCCAGGCTGGGCTGGACTGCAACCTGCAGCCCTCACTTGTCCCCGGCTGAACTCCTAGCCCTGGAGATCTTGTCTGGCCTCCTCACCCTGAAAACCCTCTTCCTAGAGCCTGACCCACCAGGCCTGGGAGATGAGCAGAGGGAACGGGCACCTCCTGGGACACTGAGTCCTGAGTGCGTGGTGACAGGCCTACAATCTCCCAACCTGCCAGCTTCTCACCAAGAGACAGGAGGCCTGGGCAGGGCAGCCTCCAGGCTGGGGAAGGGGAAGGGGGAGGGGAAAGTGATGGGAACATTCTTAGAAAGGGTCAGTGCTCTGAGCGTGGCAGGGTGGCCACTGGCCCACGGAAGTAGGATTTGGGTGGCCTGGTTTGCCCCAAGTCCTGGGGACTCAGGCATCTCCCACAGACTCTGACAAAAGTCCAGACCAGATGGGCTCTGATCTGCTTGCTCCACAGATGAGAAGGTGGGAGGTAGACACCTGCAGGATCAAGAGGTCAGGGGTTCTCCACACCACGGGTACTGTCACAGGAAGCCAGAGCCCAGGCCTCACCTGGCGGAGCCACCGGTTGTCCCTGTGGCCTGTCCTCAGGTGAGCACAGAAAGCCCCGAGCAGACGTGGATGGCAGGTCACCCTATTGCCTGGCCAGGCTCCAGGCTCAGAGCCTGGAAATGACGAGGTTATCAGGGCTTTGAGTGGTGACCAGGGGCTGGCCGGCTGCAATCCAATGGTCCATAGTGCCGCCTGCCTCCAGGTGAACCGATGACAAGGCAGCCAATGGCTTTCTTTCTCTCTGGGACACTCTCCTGTAGCTCAAGGGGTGGTGCCAGGCACAGCTGGTCACTCCAGCAACTTCTGGAGTAAGGTTGGAGGAAGGATGGAGCCAACTTCTGGAGTAAGGATGAGGAAGGATGGAGCCAACTTGATCTACTCCCCAGTTCCCCCGCCTGATGGCCCTGGGCTCCTGTGTAAACATTGTCAGCCCTGGTGCAGCGTCCGCACTCTCTCTGCAGCTTTCCCACAACTTCCGGCTCAGGCTCCTGCTGATCTAGGGGTCCACAGGGCTCAGGATGGGGCACAGAGAAGGGCTGGTTCTCAGGAAGCAATAAATAGATACAGGTGGTCTTCTGTTCATCTCAGGGCAGCGACTGGCTCTCAGCACTAGAAGCAAGGCCTCCACCCACAGGGGCCCAGGAAATGCTCGGCGAAGCTCAGCTGCGAGCTCAGAAGACACCGAGGATTCGAAGACTGGGAGGCGCGTGTCCCCTAAAAGGCCTCCAAGGAGCCCAAGGAGGCAGAGACCCACGGCCGCTAGCCCTTTCCCTGAAATTGTAAGTCTCAGAGAGGGTGGGGGGCCTGCACAAGTTCACACAGAGGCTACGAATGCCGAGAGTCCTGGCTCTAGCCCCCACCTCGCCTCCTCCTCTGGGCATTCCAGGACCCTCTACCGCTCTAAGCTACCTATCCTGGACCGAGGCACCCCCTCCCACACGCTGTTGGGCCCACCCATCCCCAGCCCTCCAAGCTTGGCCTCCCACGGGCCCTTGGGGCTCCCTCCCCTCAGGGTGCCAGGCCAAGCGGCTTCTGTCCCTTCTGGGTGGGCACGAGGAGGGAGGCCTACGGCGGGGGGGCCAGCGTGCCCTCCGGAGACATGAGCATGTCAAACTTGATGAGTGGCGGGGCGATGACGCGCACCTCGGCGTTCAGCGGGTTGAAGCGGAGGTTGACGCTGCGCAAGGCGGGCATGGCAGCTAGCTTCTCCACGGGCACGTCTGGTGGGGAGAGAGGGATAGGTTAGGGGGCCAGGGCCAAGAAAGAGGATGGAACAGAAAGACGCTGATACGCGGTGGGAGCAGCTCTCCATCACCCACTGCACATGGGCTCCTGGCACCCAGCCCTGCATGCAGAAAAGCATCCTAAAAATAAAGTTGAACTTTATTTGACTTCCATTTATCCCAGCAATTCCACTTCTGAGTAGGACTGAGATCATTGCAAACAGGTCCTCAAATACGCAGTCACATATGTACACAGCAGCACTATTCACAGGATCCAAGTGTTCCCAACAGATGATGGAGAAACCAAATGTGGAGACGCTCTTTAAGAGCACGCAGACATGCTGCCCCTCACCCACACTTAGCACCCATGCCCCTAGATTCAACACCCACGGCGGATTCTTGCCTGCTCTGCTCTGCATGGTGGTTACAAAATTATGACTTTCCAACTCCAGCAGCCCCTCAGCATTACTCCAAACAAGGGCCTTCCCTTCTCTCCCATCTATCCATTTATTACCAATAGGGACTCCTGTTTCTTACAATTCATTATTGTATTTCGTTATCTTGGTGCTCAATTTGTCCCAGATTTACTGGCAGCCAGTAGGAGCCGATCCCAACTTTATCACTCTTCCTGCTCATTTAAGATCATCGTCTGAGAAAGAAGACCTCCCTTACAATTGGGAAGGTAAGCAGAAAAGCTCCTAGCCCTACTTGGTTTGGCTCAGTGGATAGAGCTTTGGCCTGCGGACTGAAGAGTCCCGGGTTTGATTCCGTTCAAGGGCACATGCCTAGGTTGTGGGCTTGATCCCTTGTAAGGGGTGTGCAGGAGGGAGCCGGTCAATAATTCTCTCTCATTATTGATATCTCTATTTCTCTTTCCCTTTTTCTCTAAAATCAATAAAAATATATTTTAAAAAAATTATCTCTCTAAAAAATAAATAAGTAAAAAGAACAGCTCCCAAATAACCACCAGGTGGGAACGAGTTAGAGAGGGCCCTGCCAAGAAACCGATCTGGGGAAACAAAATGAGTCGAAGGCGAGGTCCCTGAACCTGAGAGCGTGCCTCCAGCTCCCCACTGGTGAGCCGAGCTGCCACCCACCGGGCAGGACTGCAGGCTCCCGAGTACCCGGTGCCGGAGCGCAGGCCAGCTCCTCTCCACTCACACCAGGGTTCTTGGGCATAAATTAAGGTGACCAGATCATCCCACTTTTGGCGGGGCAGTCTCGATTTTCAACAATTTTTCCCACGGCCTGCGGCGTTTTAAGAAAGTCCCGATTTTTGGAAAGATTGGAAAGATTCTTTCCAAAAATCGGGACTTTCTTAAAATGCCACGGGACGCGAGAAAAATTGTTAAAAATCAGACTGTCCCGCCAAAAGCGGGACGATCTGGTCACTTTAGCATACATGGCTCCTTTGGGAACTAGCCCATTTACTATGGCTCTGCTCCCCCAGATAAAGATCCTTCTGAAAATGCCTAGTGAGCAGGCTGTGCTGAAGGACAACCAGGAGAGGGGATCTGTGCGCCCTGGGCCCAGGGATCAGTGGAAAGAGGAACCTGAGGGAGGGAGGTAAACCACATGTGGCAGGACAGTAAGACGCTAGGAAAATGCCTGGGCAAGAGAATGGGGAAACCGAGACAAGAAAATTAGACAAGGCCAAACCGTTCGGGCAGCTTGCAGCAGGCCTGTGAATCCTGAGACCTTATCTCCCCAACAAGGACACTGAGAGCAAATGGTGCCTGCCCTCCTCCCTGACCAGGGAATGCACAGCCCACATCACCTGGCCTGGGACAACAGAGAACAAAGACCCATTTAATGCCACGTGTGCCTGCTAAAACCAAGGACAGAGGAAGCTGGGGAGCAAATAGCAAAAACCACATTGAAGCCAGACAGACCTACGATAACAGCAAAACAGACCAAAGAACAATCCAAAACTCCCCTATGCGCTCCTTTTGATGCATCAGCATATTAAAAAAACTCATCTTGAAAGCTGATGAATACTCTGCTGTAACCCTCCCCTACGATTCTCGCCAGCAGAAACATAAAAGATGAAAATCCCTTAAGACAAAGACTCAGTGCAGGCTCACTCTAGGGCACACCCATGCTCCTTCCCAAGCAAGAACGTTTTATTTCTTCCTAAGCTCTACGGGTCCCCAAGAGACTTGCAACCAGGAGAGCAGTGGGCAGCGGCAGCTCAACCCAGGCTCACATCCTGATCCTGTCTCCAAGGCCCCTTTTTCTCTGACTTCCCAGGGAGCTACCTGAGCCCTGCTGTGGCTCACTTCTCTCCTATAATGCCTCCAGAGAGCCAGAGCAGAGCACCACTTAGCCTCTCCCCTACTGTTTCTTATGTTTGTTTGTTTATTTGTTTTTTTGTTAATCCTCACCTGAGGACATTTTTTCCATTGATTTTTTCCATTGAGTTTTTCCATTGATTTTTAGAAAGAGTGGGAGAGAGGGGGAAGACAGAGAGACACATCAATTGGTTGCCTCCTGCAGGCACCCCAACAGGGCTGGGGATTGAGCCTGCAACCGAGATACATGCTCTTGACCAGAATCGAACTGGAAACCCTTCAGTCTAAAGGCTGAAGCTCTATCCACTGAGCCAGACCAGCTAGGGCTCCTCTGTTGTTTCTTTTATCCTAAGTCCTTCCTTCATTTCACTGTCTGTCCCCAGCTTTAATAAACATATTCTCAAACCCACCTGGACTCATACTGTGAAACCTTTCCTACGTGAAGTCGAGAACCCACACACTACAGGCTGGTCTGAGGCAGACCTGCTCTGGGCCAACTGTGAGCACTCCTGATGTACACACACACACACACACACACACAACCCAGACAGTCATTGGGAGGAGGAGGAAAAGGGAGGTTACAGCCTCTTCAGGGATAGAATGGGATTGTTGGTGGGTGGTTCCATCTCATCTGCACCCTGGAATCATCTAGGGAGTTTCAAAACCCATCAAGCCCCAAACCCACCGCCAGAGATTCTGATTTCACTGGCAGGGGTGTGGTCTTGGCACAGGGTTTTTGTAAAGCTCCTCGAACAATGTGAATGTACATCCAATTCGAGCACCTCCGATCTTCCAGTACTTCCCTCCAGGGCGATGCCCCCTGCTCTGGTGCACGAGGTAAGCTGTCAGGAGCAGGGCTGACTGCCTACCTGGCTTGGGAGGTCCCACCTCACTACCATGCACTGTCCGCTCCACCCCGAGAAAGTTTCCTTACAACCACTATGTGGCTTGTGGCTTTCTATCTCCCTATGGCCATGTGCAAACAGATTCTCTCCTTATGCAAAGCACTGTCCTGAGTAACTGGGATTATGAAGCAAGACCGCTTGGCGTGCCATGACCTTGGCCAAGTTACTGAACATCCCCGTGCCTCAGTGTCTTCACCCGGGGAGAGTAACAGTATCTGCCTCATAAAGTTACGGGGAGGTTTACACAAGAGCACAGTTCAATGCTCACTGAGTATCAGCGGGTGTGACTGACCAGCCACAAGCCCCATGAGAACAGGAGGACACTTAGTCCATCTCTGCCTCCAGCACAGTGCCTGGCACAGAGCAAGAGGCTCAATTAAAAAATGGCAGCTGGTGAGCGAAGGGACATTTCCCCAAAGCCTAAATCCATGTCCAGACCCGAGTCTATGTTCCTAAGAGCCTTATACCCTGAATAGGTCCTTGCAAGGCTGAGCTCTGACATTCCCAGCATGGGGGCTGTTCTCCAGCACTCTGGACAGAGACAGGGACAGGCAGCCTTGGACTGGGGGACGGCAGAGAGGGGGTTCCAAACCTGTTTCCCAGTGGCCCCTGCGTTCTAACGGTGGAGACCAGGAAGGGCGAGCCAGGGACTCAGGGAAAAGTAAATGCATAGAAGTCCCGAGCTGATGGGTCTCAGGGGCAGCCTCGGATGGCAGAGAGCTGCCAGGGGGACAGCTTGTGGCCCCAGGGAGGCCCAGCTAGTGCAGGCCTCTCCGTGGAGAATACTGAGGCCTTCCACCTGTCAGGTGACAGCAAGTATCCCACCAGGCCCCTGGCAGGTGGCAAGGTCTCATGATGGTTCCCTTTGGGGGTCCGGTGCCCTGTGCTCAGCCATCGCAGGCCAGAAAGCCCCGCGCTGCCCTCCAGGCTCTGAAAACGTGACTCCACAGCCCCACGCCTGGAGCCCCTTGAGCCCATGAGCTTCACTCAGGAAAGGGAGTTGGAGGAAGACGGTGCTGAGGGGGGCGGGGGACGGGGCGGTGTCCACTCACCCACAATCTCGTTCTCCTCCAGATTGATGGTCTCCAGCGCGGGCAGGGTGGTGAGCTGCTCAGGGAAATCGTGGAACTGGTTCCGAGACAGGTCGATGGCCTTGAGGTGCTGCAGGGCACTGACCTCATTGGGGAGGCGGTGCAGGAAGTTCCCTTCCAGGCGGAGCTCTGCCACGTGGGGGAGGAAGAGAACGGAGGGTGAGGAAAGCAGCCTAGAGCCGCTGCCAGCTGCCCGGGCCAGGAAGGCAGCAAGGACGCCCCAGGTCAAAAGGACACTAATGGTGTCCATTCCATGCTTGTTTATGCAAGAGGAGGGGTAACTCCCACCGCTGGCCAGAGGTCATTTCCAGCTGGGCTCCCTGCTTTTGGCTTTGGAATGGAAGGCTCTCCCGACATTCCAAAGCCTAGAGGGCGGTCAGGACACGATGGCTCCTCCCTCAGACCAGGCCTCCACTCCAGGCCTTGATGGGAAAGGACAGGATGAGCAGCCCGGGGCTCCTCACTCCCGCAGCTGACGAGAGTATGGATGGGCTCCTGCTTCTAGAGCCGCTACTCCAAAAGCTGGCCAGCTACCCGCAGGGGCCAGGGTGAGGAGGTGAGCAGGGCTGGTGGGAGTCCCTCTGCTGGGGACCTGCCCAAGGCTGGCTGGGGTGGTGCAGGCTGAAGCGCTGTGTTCTACAGAGAAGCTGGGTGTCCACAGGGGCGAGGAGCAAGGAGAAGGGGTGAGAGGCAGAAACCCAGAGCCATGGTGGGAGATAAGGGCCTAAATATGCTGCACCTGGGGCCCCCACTGCCTGAGTTCACACCCAACTGTGCCACCTACAACTTGTTCACTCCGTTATCTAAGCACATTAGGTCTGCTTCCTCACCTGTAGGAAGGGACTAGCAGTCCCTGTCTCATAAGGTTGTTGGAGGGTTACATCTGTGAACACGGGAAAAGCACTTGGCTCGGTGCCCAGCACAGGGTACGCATTCATACGTGCTTCTGTTATCATCACAGCCTAGGGCTGCTGTGAAGACTGCGTGTATGCAGGGCTTTGCACGTCTGGCACACAGTAGGTGCTCAGTAAACATGAGGGAGGAACCGAGGGAAGCAGAGGAAGCCAGTGGACAGCAGGAGAATGGGGGGGACAGAGCTGCAGAACCACCATGAGAGCACCCACAAGGGCCTGGAGTTCTGCTGGTTTCCCAGGCTCCGTCCCCAAGTGACCTTATAGAGTCTCTCCTTTATTATCTGACAGGTGAGCCTTCCCACCATCTGGCAAAGAGGAACTGAGGCTCAGAAATTCCAAGTGATGAAGAAGGGCCTCAGCCCTTCTCCCCGAGGCTGGCTTCATGGGCCTGTGACCAGCACGGTCACACAGGGCCCAGGTTCGCATGGGCTCGGCACTTGTGGCGGAAAGTTCTGTGCTGCCGCCGTGAAAGTCTGTGGTGAGAGGCTGTCCCGTGACGTGACCACTCCCTGCAGGCCGGACCCGGGCCAGAACAGCAGTTGCTTTCTGCAAACCCCTCTGGGAGCTGTCTCATCATAACGGATGTTCACTCTGACACAAATCAGCATCGGTCCCTTGCCTCCTGTTATGTGCTGGTTCCTGGAACAGTTTGCTGTCTTGACCTGGTCCAGCCCGTGCAGCAATTCCCCGTACCTGGCAGCATTCATCAGCTAGTACCTGCAACTGTTCCCCTGCTTTACTCCCCAGAATTCTTTGGGATCCATTCAGTCTAGCAGCCGCCTAAGACATGCCTCGTAGATAAGTTTCCCTTAATTAACTACCAGACTGGAGTGGCCAGCCTCCTGCTTTGGTCTTTCCTGGCCTTCTGCTTATGAAGGTAGATTTCCAGTCTCAGGATTTTTCCCTGGGTCTGCGTGGACCAACAAAGCCTTAATAATTTTATCCTTGAAACTGTGTTTTGTAAGTAGAGTGAGGCCATGGAGTATCAGCTCACACACCAGGTCCTGACTCCCACCAGCTCCCCAGGATGGGTTCTTGGCAGCCAGCTCTCTTGCCCCCAGGCCCCAAGACATGCTGGGCTCCCCCTCTTCACCCCTTTCCTGCAACTGGAGCAGCCCTCTGTCCCTGGAAGGGTCCTGGGCACAGGGAGGGTCAGTCGGCACACGTGCCCATGGTGTCTTGGGGTACAGCATGGTGGCAGCTGTCCCCTGGTACTCCTTGTGCTGGGGCGGGCAGCACCAAAGGGTCCGATAGGCAGCAGCTGGAGGCCTGGTCTTACAGGAGAAAACCTCTCGCTCACCCTGGCCTCAGGCACTGAGCATATGCTGAGCAGGGGTTTCAAGATTCTTGGGATACCTGGCTGGACCTCGCCAGGTCCTGCCTCTGGCCAGGGTGAAGTGGGGTGGTTTTGCATGTGGTATGAACTGCCAGGCCCAAGGGTACATGCCCGTGTGCCCTTCATTGTGGGAGTCGGGGGTACCCTAGGTACTTGGGAGCGTCCGCACTTCCTGCCTTCCTCCTTCCATCCGTCCTGCGTCTGGCTGAAGTTTCCTTCTGGCCATTTGAGGAGCCCCTGAAAACAAGCCACGAAATCCAAATGGCATAATTTGATGATCCCATATGAGTCAAATGCTCTGACATTGCATTTAAAACTGGCATGGTACAATATAAAGAATGTATAAAATTCATACCAATAATTTAAAGTTCCAATAGCTTCCTGACTTGGAAGGGCATTAAACAGCACATGAAAATCACCATGACACACTAAGAGAGTGGCCACAGAGGCAATAAATAAATAAATAAATAAATAAGTAAATAAATAAAGTCTTTTTATGTTCCTTTGCCAGTACTTCCTCCTGCTTGTGAACAGGGTCCTACATTTTCATTTCGCTCTGGGCCAACCAGTTATATAGTCAGCCCACTTGTCCCTCTGCATCCTCCAGGGTCAGCTGGGGCTGTGGGAGATAAAGGGCTCTGTGGTCCCAACAGCCGTTCCAGGGTTCGTTTGAACAGAGCCCTGCCTGAGGGCCCTCTGGACCACCCACCTGAGTGTCAGCCCCACTGCAGGCACCCGGCTCCGCCAAGCTGCCTTTCATTTGATGGGGGCTGTCTCTGACTCATCTTTGTTCCCTACTCAGCAAATACCTGGTAAGTGATGACGAGAGGAAAACAGACAACGCAGGGGACCTGCCTGCCTCTCGTTCCCCTTTCAAGGACATCGTGAACACAAGGCTCATCAGCAGAGCCACACAAACCCAGAACCCCTCCAGCAGCCAGGCCCTTAGCCACGCCGTAACCCAGAAAACATCCCCGTCCAGGTCACCATTCCAAGGTCAGCGTTGGAAGGGATGCTGGAGCACACCGAGTCCAGTGCTTCCTGAACTTGCCTTTGCCAGACGGCATTTCCTCAAACACTCCGAGCATGCTGCTGCCTTGGGGTCTTGGCACCTGTGGTTCCCTCTTTCTAGAATGCTCTGCTACGTCACTTCATTTGTGTCTTTGCTTAAATGTCTCCCTATCGAACGTAGGATCTTCTCCCATCTTTTCTGTCCCCTTCCCCTGCAGTGTTTACTTTCACAGAGTCCATCATTAACTCATACAGAGGGGAGAGACGGGGGGAAAGTGGTAGAAATGAGGCTGGAACCAAGTTATCCAGCAATCTTGGGAAGATTATGGATTTATCTCAGGGAGAAAAGCCATTCCGAGGATGAGTGTGCATGACCTTCTTTAAGAATTTATGTTGATCTTATATCCTAGGAACTTGCTGAGCTAGGGGTTGTTTAGTTTGTTTTGTAGATTCCTTGGGGTTTTCTATGTATACAATTATATCACAAATAGAGTTTTATTTCTTCATTTCCCATCTATATGCCTTAATTGTTTTTTCTTATCTTATTGCAGTGTTTAGAACTTTCAAAATGAGAAGACATCTTTGCCTGTCCGAATTTTACAGGTAAAGCGTGTCATCATCAAGTCTGATGTTAGCTGTGGGATTTTTATAGATGTTCTTTACCACACTGAGGTACTTCTCCTGTGTTTCTAGTTTGTCGAGTTGTTTTTGTGTGTTTTTAATCATAAATGGGTGTTGGAGTTTGTCAAATGCTTTTTCTCTGCTATATATATATGACAGATAACTGGCTGACTTTCAAATGTTGAGCCAGCTTTGCACATTTGAAAAAAATGGATAATTACCACTTGGTCATGGCATATAATTCATTTCAGGCACTGCTGGGCTTGATTGTTAATATTTCTCTGAGAATTTTTTGTGTCTTAATTAATGTGAGATAGTGGTCTGTAGTTTTATTTTTATTTTATTTTTGTCTTGTTCATATCTGGATTTGAAATAAAGGCAATACTGGCTGTGTAGCATGGGTTGGAAAGTGTGCCCTCTATTTTATGGAAGAGACTATGTAAAAACTGATGTTAGTTCTTGTTTAAGATTTTGCTAGACTTCTCTAGTAAAATCATCTGCGTCTAGAGATTTCTCTTTTTAGGGTCATTGTAGTTATGAATTCAATTTATTTGATGGCTATAGGGCTATTCTGATTGGATACTTCATCTTGCTTGAGTTTTGGTAGTTTGTGGTTTTTAAGGAACTGGTCCATTTCTTCTAAGTTGTCAGAAACTTATGAGTGCAGACTTGTTCGTGATAAGCCTGGCAGGTTTTGAGGGGAAAGCAAGCCATGGACTTGGGAAAGGCAAAAAAGGTGGTTCCCTGGGAGAGATGCCCCCATCCCTGTTAAAGTCCCCGTCTTAACTAACTCCTGGGACTTTATGTCACCTCACCGAGGTACCTGAGGTTTTCTCTCTTGTTCCCATTTCAGAGAAAGAACAAAAAATGTGGCCAAGAGCCTAGCCACCTGATGGGCTGATGTGCTGAGCTGCCAACTAAGAATGGTTGCAGACACATCTAGCTTTGCTTCTCACCCCTTCTTTTTCATTGTTGGGGTCACAACAATGCCCAGGATCTTGCTACCATCTCTCTGGAAGAGAGGGCTGAGGTGTTCTGGACCCAGGGGGTGGCCTGAGGGGCCTCCAGATGTTTCTTCCTGCTCTTACACCAAGGTTCAGAGCTGAACAGCCAGCCTTCCAGACCCACAGGGTCTTGGGAGAAGACCCTCCTCCATCCTCTCCCAACACCGTCCCCAACCTGAGTCCCTTACGATAGTCCCTTATTTACTCTCTCTTTAAACTGTGGTTTCGGGTGTCCGTTAAATGGACCTCCCCTCCCCCAAGTTCTTCCTCTTACTTCCGCATCCTCCTTATCTTGAACAGCTGCCAAGCCTGACTCGGAAGACTGACCCCCGAGGAGAAATGAGGCCTACTGATTCCTTCAGGAACCGATGAGGCTGGCAGGCTGTACCATGGAGCCAGGTAGCCAGGGGATGCGACAAACTCCAAAATTACCTGTCCACGGAGGATCAGTTAGGGCCTTGGGTGCCGCACCCACATTGATAAGCAATCGTGTTGCTGCCTGCAAGGGCCCCGGTGCAGGGCAGGGCCAGCCAGTGTGCTGTGGCAAAAAGTGTCCTTCAAACGGCGCATGCTCCGCACAAAGCCAGCTGCTGCCCATGGGGGACACAGGGGCAAGGAGACAGAAGGGGAGTTTCCAAAAGCCACACGCTCTCCTCAGGTGGACAGAGGGAAGGGGTGAGAAAACTGTTCTACCTGCGTCTGCAGCAAACCAAAATGCCGCACTGACCATTCTGCCCCCATGAAAAGAGTAAGAGTAAGGCAGTGGTCACTGTCCCAACACGAACCAATTTCTAAAATGTACTGATAAGTAAGGAAGGCAAGTAATGACCTGGCTGGTTTGACCCAGTGGCTAGAGCACTGGCCCTCGGACTGAAGGGTCCTGAGTTTTATTCTGCTCAAGGGCACGTACCTCAGTTGCAGGCTCGATCCCTGGTCTGGGCTGGGACGCGTGTGGAAGGCAACCAATCGGTATGTCTCACTCACACTGATGTTTCTCTCTCTCTCTCTGTCTTTCCCCCTTCCCTTCCTCTCTCTAAAAATCAATGGAAAAATGTCCTCAGTTGAGGATTAACAAACAAAAGGCAAGTTGCATATTCTCTAATCCTATTAGCAGTTATAAAGGAGCTCTGTGGATCTGGAGCCGCAGTCCCAACCCCTTCTTTTTCGCTGTGTGACCTTGAGCAAGTTATTTACACGCTCTCTGCCCCAGTTTCCTCACCTGTAAAAGGAGACAGTGTCAGCAGAGCTGTGTACTTTTTGGAGGGTCTAGCGAAGAATCTGTTCCTTGACTTCTCCAGCCTCTGGAGGATTGGAACATCATATAGTCTCTGTTGCAGCTGTAACATCAACTTCTCTGACTCTAGCCCTCCTGCCTCCTCCTGAGGACCCTGTGATGACACTGGACCCACTCACCTGGATATCACCTGGTCTTAAGGTCCTTGACTTAATCACATCTGCAAAGTCTCTCTTGCCATGAAAGGTACATAGTCACAGGTTCCAAGAATGTGGATATCTTTGGGAGGGTCATTATTCTGCTGGCCACATGGCAGGAGGTCATTCATTCACCAGCTCAGTGGGTAGCGCTGTCCAGGTACTGCGGTGGACAGCGCCTGGGATGCAGCTAGCCTCAGGGCAGTGCATGAGACGACATGTTCAATCTTCACAAGGGGTAAAGACTGTTACCAGTATTATTCCACTGTCCCAAGAGGAAACTGAGGCACAGAGCAGTTAAATACCCTGCCTGTGATTACCGAGCTAATAAGTTACAGAGAGCATCAGTCGACGGTCTGGAGGAGGAGCTGCCCCCACTGGAAAGAGCTGGCACACTCAAATTAACTCAAGGAGAGTTTATTTGCAACAGAAAGTATTTCCAAAGGTGTGAGAGGCTATAGTGGAATTTCAAGGGATCCTGCAGTAACACAGGGTTACGAGCAGGGAGCTGTCACCAGCCGGAAAGAGAGAGTCATGTGGAAGCTGCCTTGAGAAAAGTGACCTCCGGACAAGGGGCACAGCTAGCCCGAGGTGGACCTCACAGGGAGGTGGCCAGGAGAATAAACACACTGACCTTTCTAGCCACTCTCCCTCTGCTCTCCTGCTGGGGCTCCCCAAAGGCTGTGCCTAACTGCAGCCGGGGGTCAGAGAGCCAAGGTCAGCATGGAGCACGGATCTACGGGGAAGCGGAAGGCGTCACACTCCAGAACCAGACTCGAACTCGGGGCCTGTGCATTCCACACCCAATGACCCAGCCTCTTATCTGGTGGGTCCTGGTTCAGCCTGACCACAGGCAAGCTTGCTCTTCCCCTGTGGGCCCCGGGCTCAGGGTCAGGCCGTGCCCGATGACTTCATGTTGTACACCACGCTCTCTGAAAATGCTCTCGCCTGCTGGCCTTGGGAGTCCCATCTCGGATTCTATCCAAAGTATGCTGAAGGCCATGGCACTTGGGTTCTTCTAATTCTCTGTGAGGGAGGGCTGAACCCCTGTCTGCAAGCACACATGCAGGGGTCATGAACAGCTTGGCCTTTTCCCCACTGAGCTCAGCCAGGTAACTCCAGATGCCCTTGTGGGCTGACAGCAAAACCCAATGCAGAAGGTCACAGCCTTACAACCGCCTCAGCATCAGGTAGGGACTCTTGATCATCGGCAACTGGATAACTCAGTGAGATGGATAGCCCTGTGGATAATTCAGTGAGATGGACTCTCCTAGACCTGCTATCTCAGTGGTGGGCTATGCTGAGAGAACCCATCAGGGCAGATCTGCCTGATCCCAGACTAAAATCAAGACGTCAGAGCCCAACTGCTTGCAGCAAAGCTTCAATGTCCTCCTCACTTTCCCAGGCCTGTACCCCTTCTATCCCCTTCCATCTGCTAAGTGCCAGCAGCCAGAGAAAAGTAACGTAGTGGGCGGAAGCAAAGAAGGAAGTGGGGGAAGAACATAGGGCTGAGCAACCGTCTACTGCGTCACCCCTCACACAGTAAGGCGGCTGTCTGCTGACACACCCGACACCTCTGAGAGACCAGGAGCCCCTCGAGGACCAGCTCGAGGTCTCAGTTTTCTTTCTTTTTGACAGAGTCCCTCATTTATTTGGGATCCAAGGCCCCAACCCCCAGTAAACTTCAGCCAAGCTCCCAGTCTCTGGCTGTTCACCCTAGGTAAGGATTGGGGTCAGGTGGACAGGAGTCACCCCAGCAGGAGGGACTGGACAGCAAGCCCAGGGGAACAGCTAGGGCAAGTGCTTGGCCATCGCCTCCAACACTTCAAAGCCCTATTGATGCCGGGGGTGGGGGAGACCTCTGCAGGGGCCCCTCAGGTCTCATGGAGCTGCCCCTGGAGGCCTGCGTTCTCCTGGCGAAGGGCCCGGTAGTCCTCTTGGATCTTCTCCAGGTTGCTAAGGGTCTTCTTGCCCATCTCAGTCTCGATCAGCTCCTCCAGGTCTCGGACCTCCCGCAGGAGGGTGCCCACGTCCTCAATGGTCTGGAGAAGCTGGCTGCAGTTCTCATGCGAGGCAGCGAGGTACTTGTAGGCCTTCCGCACAGCATCGTCCTTCTTGGCATCCTTGAACACAAGCTCATCAGTCACCATAAATGTCCGGTCCAGCTTTCCAGACAGGGAGTGGACTTCCTTCTGAAGCTGCTTTGTGTCAGACAAGACCTTAGTGATGTCTTCCTTCTGCTTCTGGATGTTACCCACAATCTCCAGGATGCGCTGGGTATAGGCCAGCCGGGACACATCTCTGGGCAGGGTCTCCAGCTTGGACACCAGCTGCTTATAGATCTCCTCCTTCTTGCGGGCCTCCTCAGCAGCGGCCCCAACACTCCGGTGCAGCTCCTGAATCTCTGCCAGCCGTCGAGAGGATTCCAGCTCTCTGCAAACCTGGAGCTCTCGGAGGTGGCGGTACTCAGCAAGGAGCGGGGCCCGGTGCTTTTCCCACTGGCCCGCCAAGTGGACGACCCGCTGGGCACTACTCTGTACCACGAGCTGTAGCTTGGCAAGGTTGGCAGCCCCGTCTGGCAGCAGCTGCACTGCCCGGCGCTTCAGGTGCAGGACCTGCTCCCTCTCGGCTGTGCTGAGCTCCGTCTGCCGACACCAGGTCTCCATCTGCACCAGGCCGATTCCCAGCGTATTCATGTTGGCTTCAACCTCTTCAATGTTATGGTTCATTCCATTCAGCAGCCCCCGAAGAGCCTCCAGCTCCTGCTCCTGAGCTGCCCACGTGTCTGGTTCAGGCCACCGGGAGGTGGCTGGCACATCTGACTGGGCCAGCTGGGCCTCAGGCTCCCGATGGAAGGTGAACTTCTCTGAATGTGTGAAGTGGGAGCCCTTGGGCGCACCAGTCGTGGTCCTAGCACCCCAGGCCTGCAGCAGCTCTCCCAAGTCTTGGGTTTGTGAGGGCGGCCCCAGCTGGCCCCAGGCCTGACGCAGATGCTCAGCCAGGTGCTTCTGCAGCCGCTGCAGCTGAGCCCGCCTCTCTTCCTGCGTGGGGAGGCAGGATGCCCGATGGACCCAGTCCTTGTCCTCAGGGTGGTCCCGGGCTGTGTGCTGGCAGAGCTGGATGGCATGGCATTCGAGGAGTGAGGCCACTCTCCCGGCAGGCCGAGGCACCTGCGTGGGGGCTGGCAGTAGCAAGGAACTTGCCTGGAACTCCCGGGGCTCTCCTGTGGAACTCAATTCAGGCACGACCAGCTTATGGGCATGGAAAGGACTCCGGGGGGCCGAGCCCTGGAGATGCTGCAGCTTAGGGGTGCGAAGAAGGGGTGGGACCCAGGGCAGGGACAGCTGGTCCCGAATTTGGCTCCCGATGGCCCGGAGGAGGATCGCTGGGTCACCCGCAGGCTGGTCTGCGTCCTCGGAGGCGTCGGCAGGTAGACGCTCAGCCAAGAAGAGAAGCAGGTCCCGGAGGTCGGGCTCACTGGGATAGAGGAAGTTCTGATAGCCAAGATCCGAAGGATAGCCCAGGTCCATGCAGGCCTGAGCCAGGCTCACGGCCAGGTGGAAACGGGCAGACATGGCGAGAGGCAGCAGGGGGCTGAGGCGGGAGCCCACCGCAGGACTGATCACACGCAGGCAGCAGACAACGGCTTCTACAGCCAGCTCAGGGGTGAAGGCTCGCAGGGTCTGCACTTCCGGAGGAACTGCCGCGCCGGCCTGGCGCAGGGCGTGGATGAGGATTCGGTCTGCCTCCTCCATGGTGAAGCTGCGCCCCAGTCCGGGGCTGGGTCCGAGCAAGCGAACCTAGGTCTCAGTTTTCTTAGCCTTCTCAAATACCGGGTGCTACGAGGGCTGGATGAGATAACATACGTAAAACCCTCAGCGTGCACCCATTGAACGTGGGCTCTCCTGCTATTCCTCACCCGTTCATGCCCATGGCCGGGCGCAGAACAGGCGCTGAGGAACTGCTGAAGTTCGCTGAAAGACAGGCTGTGAGAAACGGAATGTACACACACAGGCAATGGCCAGGCCAACTATAAGAACAGAACTCTGACCCACAACCTGCCCAGGAAACTAACCCATCCCAACAGTGACAGCTCAGGAAGCTGTCTGCCGAAAGTCAGACTCGTGGGAAGTCAGGCTGCTCTCCTTATGAACAATCCTAGAAACCAAACAATACCTCTGTAACAACTGGACCCAACGGCCAGGACTTGATTGCTAACAGTTTCCTTAACTTTTGTCCCCACTTCCAACTTAGCACCAAGCAGAGAAAGCCAAATACACACCCTAACCAATCAAACAGGATGCCCCAGGCTAGCAGACCTGCCTCCAGGGTCCCCAGGTCAATGGACTCCAATCAGGGCTCACCCGAAGCCTTCCCTTCCTCCACTGGAAAGCTTTCCCACTCCTCCACCAAAAGGTGGTGGCTTCGATTCCTGATCAGAGCACATTCTTGGGTTGTGGGTTTGATTCCCAGTTGGGCCACGTGTAGGGGGAAACCAGTGGATGTTCCTCTCTCCCCCCTCCCTCCTTCACTCTCTCTAAAACTTAACTTTTTCATTTCTGCCACTGTCCTTCCCAGGTCTTTCTTGCGTTTTCTTGTCATAAAATGGGTGAAGGACATAAAGGGGATGGAATCATTTAAAGATGACCTTGCTCTGCCCTGGCTGGTGTTGCTCAGTGGATAGAGCATTGGCCTGTGCACTGAAGAGTCACCAGTTTGATTCCTGGTCAAGAGCACATACTTGGGTAGCAGATTTGATTTCCAAACCCCAATCAATGTGCCTCTTTCACGTTAATGTTTCTTTCTCTCTCTCTCTCTCTTTCTCTCTCTCTCGCTCTCGCTCTCACTCCCTTCCTCTCTCTCTCTCTAAAAAAAAAAAAAAATCAATGGATGAGGATAAATAAATAAACAAACAAACAGATACACAGATAAATAAACAAGCAGGCTAATAAATGCAAATAAGCAAATCAATAAATAACAAGACTTTGCTCTGAGGGGCCATGAGCCCTGCAGAAGAGAGTCCCCAGGGTGCCCACAGGAGATAACTTGGCGGCAGGGAGTTCACAGAGGCTCTTTCCTCAACACCCAAGCAGCCCCCTCCTTTGCCAGGACACTGGCAGGCTCTGAGGAGCCCAGAAAATCTTATTCAAGCCTCCTCTTCACACATGAGGTGTGAGGGTTTTCGTATTTGAAAGAGGAGCTATGGCAACGGCTGGGGCTCAGAGCTATCTCTGTGGGAGCCAGGTTGGTCCTCGGCTCCAGTCCCTTCCTGCTGGGCACACAGCCATCCTTGGTAATCCGAGGCGTGTGGGGGCATCAGGAGCCACAGCCAGCACAGGAGGGAGTACAAACTGTACCCTTCGACGGACTTCTGACCCAAAGGGTATTGTAATGACTATATTTCCAGGGCGGAGGCACGAGCGCACGGCTCTAAGCACATTTCTCTGACACCCGTCGTGGTCCCCCTTCACTGGGAGACCTGCTCTGGTGGCCTTTGCTCTGACCCTCCCACGGGTCGGGAACGCAGCAGGAGCACAGGGCAGGGTGAATGGAGGAAAAAGGACAAACGAACTCCTCTCACCCAAACAAAGCCTGACTGCCTTCCAGGGGCTCACCCACCCCCACCACCCATGGTCCATCATTCCATCTCCCTCTGGAAAGCAAACATCCATTCCAGTGGGCTGGAGACAGCTCTGGAGGACCCGTGAGCTCATGCAGGTGTCCTGGAGAGGCACCTGGCCTGCGAGGTGGGCAACCAGGGTGTATTGCTCTGAGACCCCAGGCACATCCCTTCTCTCCCTGATCTTCCTTTGCCACCCCTGAAATGAGGGGGATAGAAAGAGCTCTAATATTTATGGGGGATTCTCCAACCAGTGACCCTCGGGCTAAATCTAGTGTTTGATCGCTTTTATTTTATGTAAAAACTAGAGGCCCAGTGCACGAAAATTCGTGCACTCGGGGAGGTCTCTCAGCCCAGCCTGCATGCTCTCACAATCTGGGACCCCTCGGGGAGGGTCCAGTCCCATCACAGCATGGCTCTGGTTCCCTGGGCCTGTGGGCTGGGGTGGGGGTGAGGGGACCAAGAGGCCAGTCCGATTGTAGCAATGCTCCAGTTCTCTGGAGCCTGTGGGCGGGAGGAAGGACCAAGATTCCCAGATCGCAGCATGGCTCTGGTTCCTGAGAGCCTGCGGGTCGGGGGAGGGACCAAGAGGCCAGACTAATAGCAGCATGGCTCTGTTCCCACAGCTGGGCCCATAGCTCCCTCCCACTGCCACGGGCGGCTGGGACCCAGGACCCAGGACCCAGGATCGATTTCCACTGAGCTGGCTGGGATCCTAGCCTGGTGTTTGGTCATCCGTCCGGACGTTTAGGCTGTGATGGACCCTGGTTCCTCATATTAGGATACGAGCCCTGTGAGCTTCACTCAGAAACAACTGCACAGACCAAGCCCACTGTCTTGCCCCTGTGTCTGCACCTCGCTGGCGGCCTTTCCAGGCCCTGCCAGTGGCTCCCTCCTGTGGTTTCCCTAGGAAGTCTAAAACCAGCTGTATGAGATACGCTTGCTCGAGTCCCTCTGCTCCCCAGTTTCCATTTTACAAACTTGTTTCTCTACACAGGCTCTTAGACCCTTCCCATGCTTCTAGCAGATAGAGAATTCTAGAAGGCAGGAGGGTCATGCCTCTTGTGTTCTCCCCCGCTCTCCTGCTCCACCACTTAGAAAGCACACGCCATGTGCCCAGGTCGCAGCTCCATCCCAGGCGGGCTGAGTGGCCCGGGACTCCTGCAGAAGGATGGAGGGCCTGCTCTGTGGAAAGGGGATAAGCACTGCAGTGGCACCTGCACCCTGCTGTCCCTCTGGAGAAGCCACTTCAAAAGAATCAATAACACCCACCTGCTGGCCTCCTGCCCACCTCCCTGCCGAGCCCCTCCAAACCCCCCACCCCCGTCCACTTGCTCTGTGTGTGCCCAGCAGAGGAAACACCAACATTCTGGAACCTGTCACTCCTGAACTGAAGAGCAGCACAGGAGAACAATACCGACTGGGGGACCAGAGGGGGCTTGCTCAAGTCTACCAAGAAATACGTCTGGGTCTCAAGACCCCAAATACCCAGCCAGTCTGTTCAGAATAAGACAATCACTCCAGGACCCACACCTCGACCATTAGCCAATCGGATTCACGGCCAGCTAGGCAGACATGACAGAGGTTTCTAAGCTTCAGGAAGGACACAGGTCCATCCTCAAAGCCTCCCCATGGCAATGACTTCCCAGGTCCCGCTGACGGGGCTGGCCCTTGTTACCCTCCCAAGAGTGTCAGAGCTTGAGGACGAGGGCTGGCCATGCCCCCCTCTGAGCTGAGTTGACCAGGGCCTACCTTGAAGCTGACAGAACGTGGTCATGAACTTGCTGGTGAGGGACTTGAGCTCGTTGTTGGCCAGCGTGATGAGGTGGATCTGGTCGGTGACATTCCGCAAGACCTTGTAGATGCCGATGGGGAAAGAAACCAGCTTGCACTCGGCCAGATCTGCAGAGAAAGAACAGAGACAGACCAGAGTTAGCAGCCACAGCTGCCCGAGGACTTGCCCCAAACCATGTGGACCCGACCCAGTCTCCCCTCCCAACCTCCTTGCTCTCCCATCTGTCCCCGCTATGCCAGGCTTGAAACGCTGCTCTCTCTTCTAGGAGACTTCATCACCCTTAATTCCACTTGTCCCTCCCTCACACCCTCTCCCTTACCACAGCCTACTAGCCAGGATATGGAAGGCAGGGTTCTGCCAGGCAGCGACAACCAGCATTTGTGGCAACGCCCTTGAGGCCCTCCAAGTTCACAAGTCCCTGAGGAACCGTCAAAGACTCCACAGTGAAGCTGCAGTCTTATGAGTACTTGGTAACAGTCTACTTCTTTGTAAAAAGATTCACACAGACAGTGACCTTCCCAGTCCTGTCATTCTGATAGTAAGAAAGCCTGTACAAGAGGCAGCAAGAAAGCTATGTGCAGGCTCGCTGGCAGTTCCTCAAGAATTACCTATGGCCAGCAATTCCACTTGTCGTGTACACCCGAGAGAAATGGAACCAGGTGTCCACACAAAAACACATTACATAGGATAAAGGATATCCCATCTAAGGATAAAGAGGGAATATGCTAATTGACTGTCATGCCCTCACAAATATGGCAATGTCCGCAGCCACAAGATGGCGGTGCCCAGTCCCCTCAGCCTCGCCAGGGCATCAGGCAGGTCCAGCTGTGCCACATGCCTGCCTTCAGAGTCCCCCATTCCCCTCAGCCCCTCAGCCACCCAGGGTAGGTCCAGGTTGCAGGCAAACTCAGATGGTGGCTGCCCAGCCGCTCAGGGCCACCCAAGGCTCAGGTAACCAGGGCCGGCTGAGGCTTACACTGCTGGCAGTGGCAGCAGCAGAGGTGTGATGGTAGCGTCACCTTCCCCTGATCGCCAGGTCACTTCCCACCCCTGAGGGCTCCCAGATTATGAGAAGGGATAGGCCAGGCTGAGGAACCCTTCACCCCCTCCAGTGCATGAATTTTCATCATCGGGCCTCTAGTATCCATAACAGCCAAAGCATAGAAACAGCCCAGAAGTCCATCAACTGCTGGATGGATAAGCAAAATGTGGTATCTCCATAAAAAGGAATAAGTTTAGCAATAAAAAGAAATGAAGTACCAGTATATGCTACAATATCAAAGGACCTTGAAAACATTATGCTAAGTGAAATAGGTCAGTCATAAAGGACCATATACTGTATGAGACCATTTATATGAAATGTCCAGATTAGCCAAGTATATAGAGGCAGAAGGTAGATTAGTGCTTACATAAGGGTAGGGGGCATTGAAGGATTGTGAGATGGAGATGAAGCGGTGAAGGTTTCTTTGGTGAAGGTAAGCAAATGTTCTAAAATTTGATTGTGGTGATAGCTGCGCAAATCTATGAATATACTAAAACCCACTAAACTGTGTATTTTAAATGGCTGAATTATAGGGTATATGAATTATATGTCAATAAAATGTTTTATAGATATGGCAGCAGGGAGACACTGAAAGTATGAAGGCTAAGAGATGAGGTTCACCAAAGTCATGTAAGTGCCCTGGGCCTCAGTTTCTTCATCTGTACAGTGGGGGTATCATTATCCACCTAGCAAGGCTGTCAGGAAAAGTAAATGTAATACAAAGTACTAAATGTACTAACCAAGTGCCGGGCAGAGGTCATGCTACAGATGTTGTTTCTCCTTGCCTAAGTGCCCCCATTACTGGTGACCCCCTCCTGACCCCTGAACTGCAGGAGTACTCACTCACCAACTCAGAAAACACTGCCCCATCTCCCTCTCAGCAAACACCTGTCTTTTTCCCAGAGAGACCAGGCTTCCCCCAGGCCTCTAAGCCTTTGAAGATTGTTCCAAATTAAATATACAGAAATCAACAACATTCCTATATACCAGCAAGAAAGTTTATAAAGATCCACTTGTGAACAGCAACCATAATGCAAAGCCTGTAGAAACAGTCAGACTAGAAGCCCTTCTCCCTCATCTGCCTCATAGAATTTCTACTCTTGTTCCAAGACCAGCTCAAGTGTCACCTCCTTCATGAAGCCCTCCCTCACTGCAGTTAGATGCTCCCGCCTTCTGCTCTGATAGTTTGCAAATGAAACCTCGTCATCCTGTATGGTACTGATCCCTTTTTCTGTCTGCTTTCCCACTGGATTGGGAAGACCACAGAGCACGGTGCCAGCAGAGGTCTAGCAGGCTCGAAGCAGGGCAGGGTATTGGTGACCTCCCTGAGCTGGTGAGAAAAGAAAGGGGCACGTGGGGTGAAGACTGAAGTCCAGATGATTGAGGGTCCACAGGGGTCCTCTGTAGGGCATCCTGAGAAGAAGTGTCTTCCTGCCTCTGCTGGTCCAGGTGGGGCTAAGTGAGCGCAGCCCTGCTGCCACAGCCACCAGCTCCTGTATTAGCAGGTGAGGATGGCAGAAGAGGATGCGCAGTCTGCGGCAGGGAGCCAATCCCAGGAAGCCAGGCTTTCAGTGGCAATCAGCGCTGGACCTGGACCAGCTCTGGGGGCTCCAAGTTTGGGGTAGGCTGGGGACTCTAGAAAGAACAAGCCCTTCCAAACAATAAGTCCCTAGTGCTTGGTGCCAGAGCATAAATGGCTCAGAGGGATGGCTGTGGTGGTTGTACATCATATCCCTTGGGTGGAAGCAACAGGTCTACAAGCTAGGAGCAACACCAAGGGAAAGCTGTCCCTTTAAAAAAAAAAGAGCCAGAAAGGATGCCTTCCACCACCAGCCTCCCTTAACATGGTCTTAGGAGTTCTGTGCAAAGAAATAGAAAACAGAAACACTGGAAACAGATTTATTATGATGTGTATTTGCAATGAATGTGTAACCTCAAACACCCAAAGTCATCTGACAACGCACATGAAACAGACTTCAGCAAAGTGGCCGATCCAAATAAACATGCAAAACTCAATGATATTCTATATGCCAGCAATAGAGTAAATACAGTTTTTAAGGATCTTATTCTGAACAGCAACAATACTATAAAATATACAGTGATGGTAATAATGAAAAAATGGATCTTAATAATATTAAGAACAGCTCACAAAAAATGTTTTTAAAATTGATTGGTACATGAAGCTATAACATGTTCATTGATAACAAGTAAAAATATTGAAATAATGTGATTTTTTAAAATATACTTTATTGATTTTTTTACAGAGAGGAAGAGAGAGGGATAGAGAGTTAAAAATATTGATGAGAGAGAATCATCGATCAGCTGCCTCTTGCACAACCCCTACTGGGAATGTGCCCGCAACCAAGGTACATGCCCTTGACTGGAATCGAACCTGGGACCTTTCAGTCACAGGCCGATTCTCTATCCACTGAGCCAAACTGGTTTCAACAATAATGTTGATTTTCAAAGAAACTGATTTATAGATTGTTTAATGTAATTCCTACTCAAATCCTAAAATGTTTTTTTGTTTTTAATTTATAAAATGGTTTTATTTTTATTTATTTATTTATTTATTTATTTAATATATATATTTTTATTGATTTTGTACAGAGAGGAAGGGAGAGAGGTAGAGAGTTAGAAACATCGATGAGAGAGAAACATCGATCAGCTGCCTCCTGCACACCCCCTACCGGGGATATGCCCGCAACTAAGGTACATGCCCTTGACCGGAATCGAACCCGGGACCCTTCAGTCCCCAAGCCGACGCTCTATCCATTGAGCCAAACCGGTCCTGGCTGAAATGGTTTTAAATTTCAACTGGGGGAATGAGCAAGCATGACTCTATAAGAAAAAAAAGATCGATGGTAACCAATATTACAAGGCTACAATTATTTCAAAAGAGGGCCATAGGGGAAATATATCATAGAAATAAAATGTATAGCCCATTTGGTCCATAAATAATGTCATAATTTAATAAATGCTAAAGGAGGCCTCACAAAAAAAACAGGAAAGGATTAATAACTGATGTTAGAATAGGCAACCAATTAACAATTTTTGGAAAACAAAAAAGAAAGACACTCAATAACCTAAAAATCAAAACATACTCTACATCAAATTACACTCTAGTATATATTTTTTAAATCAAAGCAAAAAATACAAAGCAAAACAGAATTTAACATTTATACAACCTCTTATGTGAGGATGACTTTCTATAACTAGGAGCTATAGAAGAATCACAAAGGAACAGATCAACAAAACTTACTGTATAAAATATATAATTTTATACAGTTAGGATAACTGAATGCAAAAACCAAACAACCTGGATGCTTTTAATAATAATAATAATAATAATAATAATAATAATAAGGCAAGCAGCAGATTGTGAAAGAGGAACCAAGACCCTACTGTGTGCCAGGCACTGTTCCACATTGTGTCCTGTGACTTCTCTATGATTTTTCTTCTGTTATGGGGGACGCCATCTGTTCCCTCCATCATTTAACCCCAGAACTACCTACCCAAGGCTGGTGTACATGTGCAGGGAAGGCTGCTCCACAAAGTTCCTACTCAGAACAGTCTGGCTTCCATTGATGGCAAAGGCCCCCAAGGATTCCTGCAAACATACACCGCGCCTTACAGGCCGTCACACCAGCCACTAACATAGCACGTGGACTCCAATCTCTGGACCAGCACTGCTCTCCATGATCCCTGGGACAAGAATATGGACAGCCAAGTCTCCAGACATGCTGGAACAAATTCAGCCTTGCCCAGGCATCTTCCCACCTGTGCACAAGAAGAAAACGGCTTCATGTCCAGTCCCTCGGGGGGCTAGAACAGCAATAACTATCAAGAGTAACAGTTATTATCTCATACGTGCTAGGCTATGAGAATTATCCCCTCTGAACACTCCAGGAAAGTGCAACCAAGTGACTTGGTCAAGGTCATACAGCTAAAAAGAAGGGAGCAAGACTTGAACGCAGATTAGGCTGGTCAGGAAGCCAGGGATCCTAACCATTCTACTACCCGGCCCCTTGTGTGAAGAACAGCCCCAGGTGCCTGTCTTCATTG